AAAAAAAAAGATATAATTTTCCATAAATTTAGTTATACTTTCAATAAAATGAAAAAGAAAAAAACAAAAATATCAGAAATGCATTTAAATAAGAGAAAAAGTTTAAAAAAGATTTCAAACTTGTTTCGATTACTTTTCAATCTACTGCAAAGCTTTCAAACTAAAAATTTTTATCAGTTCAAAAAGTGAAGTGGAAACTGTTCGAAAAAATATTTATTACGTTCTCACTTTCCCAATCGTGTTTCACCTAGATTAATGGAAATAGATTTTTGTTAAATCAAAGAACAATTTATAACAGGACCAAGCCTATTTTTTTTTTAGAAAAACAGAGAAATAGTTTAAGTTTTACTTAATTACAAATTGTCTTTAAATAAAATATTTATGATATGTTAGTACACAAATACTTTAAATGTTATATTTGTTATATTAAAATCTTGACATTATTTCTTTCATAAGCTTCATAATTAATCCTGACACTTTATTTTTTCACACGTTTAAACAATGTACAAAATTTTGATAAATTTTATTAACATATTTTCTGAAAGATCCTGCCAGAATATAACCGATATAACAAAAGATCCCACATCTGTTACTGTAAAGTTGTTGATCAAAAATTAAATTAATCATTAAAATATCAGAAAGAAATGTCCCCACTTCCCCTATTTCAAAAATCTATTTTCAACCTTTAACAGGCTAATCAATATTTATATATTCATTTTTATTCACGACTTCGCTCATAAATTCCAAATTAACCTGAAAACTTAATACAAAAGCGAGAAGGGGAAGTACTCCACGATAAATTGGCGTTTCTTCCGATAGCCTCGGCATCGAGCCGCAATCACGAGCTTATTTCGTTAACTTCCCTCCTTTCCTTCGTGCCTTTCCTTTCTCCCTCTCTAACCGCCGAATTCAATGGGCGAGAAGAGAGTAGCATCTCATTAAACTGTATCGCGGCCTGCCTCAATCCCACCTTTCTTCCATTGACCCATTAAAAAACCCGCGAGAGGGACAATGGCACGAAAATAAGGCGCTGCAAATTATTGCGGTGGAGTGTGACGCGCACACGAACAATAAGGAATTGAGCTAAACGATTTCGGATAAAGCTGAAATAACGGATATATATATATGTGTGTGTGCTACCAGTGCTCGTTTTTTCGCTGTCTCGAGAAGACAATGTGTCACGATCGTGCGATGTATCGTAGGATATGTATCGTGACATCTTGAAATAAAAAAGAAAAAGAGAGGAACAACAAGGAGGATGTTGCGTGATCCAATTTAGAAATTGAAAAAAGTTTCTGGATAGATGTTGTTCTGGAAGTTGGATACTTTCAGTGATAAATATAGATATGAGTTTTATAAAGAAAGATAAGATATTGTTTGGGAATGTAGAAATTGTAGTAATCTTAAAAATATATAGGTGGATTAAAAATTTTCAAAATTTCAATATTTCAATTGTTTTTTAATTGTAATTGTTTCGTTGTAATTTGAGATTTGAAAGAAGAGTATTGATTAAGTTTTCGATTATTGTTAGCCAGTTTTTAATATGAAATTAAATTGCAATTAATTCTTTCAATTTGATTTGAGGAATTCTATTAGAATAATGTTTCCAAATGATGTTAAGTAAAATAAATATTTTTCATTTAAATAATTCTATTGTAAAGGATATTTAGTGGAATGATAATTTAATATTTGATCTGTAATAATTATTGTATTATTATTTGTTAATATATGTAGAGGAAATTATGTATGTATCGTATAATAATATTATGAAAGGAAGCTGTAACACATGTTATATTCGTGTTGTTCAGAATAATTCATTGCATTCCCTCTCCTCGCGAAATATTTAGAAAATATTGTTATAATTTGATGTAATTATGTTTCATCATAAATTCATTTATATTGTTCGTTATAAAATATGTTTCATTAAATAATCAATAGTGTAACAAGTTAAATATAAAGCATTATTAATAATTTTAATATATTATCTCTATCAAATATTCCAATATCAATACATATTATATAAAATATAAAAATTTAAGAAACAAAAATAATCAATTATAAGATAATATTACATACATTTTTCGAACTACTTAAATTTATTTTACATTCGAATTTAATCAAAAACATAAAAAGCATTCTAAAAATTCAGATCTTTATTGTGAACTCTTTCACAACACTTCCACAACGAAATATTTATTTGATATATCATCTATTATTTATTATATATAAATATTCGTATATAAACTTTTTCAATTGATGGATCAAGTAAAAGCTTCCATACCTTTTTAACAGCCTTGTCTAGCGTCATTTAAATTCCATTTAATTCGTTTTAAACGAACAGTTTCAGTGGAAGCGACAAGATAAAAACTTCGAGGCGAAACAACGGCGAAAATTCTCTCTAATGGCGGCGAGGAACCACGCTGAATATTAAATTCAATTTGTTTCCTCATAGACATCGCGCAACGGCGAGAAGTGACGCGTGTTTCCATCTCACGGATTTACATAAGTGACTTATGGTCAGTGGGTATTACCCTCCCTCCCTCCCCTCGTGAAGGGATGGCCCTCTCGGATATCTTTGATGTGACGTTCGCATAGGGATTCAAATGAGGGATGGTCGTTATGAGGGCCGGGTGTAGAATATCATACTCGCGTATTTGGTTTCCCGCCACGCGTGTGTATCGTTACGGATGCGAATTAGAAAACCGAAACGTAGAATGGGCATTTCTGTGATCGATTCGAAAAATTATTCATCGATCTCTGTTAATGATTGATGTTGTATTTCAAATGAAGTCGAGGAAAATGTATACTACTAATTTAAAAAATTGGAAAGCAATCCCGTTTTTGTACGGAATAAAAGATCTATTGTAGATATTTAAAATTAGAGAACATGGAATTTGATAAAATTTTTCATCTTGTCAAGAGAAAGATAGAACATTGAAATTATGTTATAAATACAAGATTTTATTTGTATGCATAATCATAATGATTCGTAAATTCACGAGGATTCGATATTCTCGCTCTCATATTAATTTTCTTGCTTCAAACAAACATATGTATTGTCGATACAATAATAAGTAAGTATTATTAAATAAACGATACGTAACGATATTCAATAAATATCAAAAGTATTAATAAAAATATGTAAAAATATGTAACGTGAATCATCACGTACAATCGTTACTCAAATAATAATTTTAAATCGATGATGAATAAAAATCAAAACGATATATATTAAAAATATAACGCAATGAAAAAAATCGAAGAAAATATATTCTATAACACAAAATTTATCGACTTTATAAATAAATAAATAAATATCATGTTTTCAGTGTACAAATACTCGAAAGATAAGAGATACTCTAAGCGTTCAATCCACGATTCGTCGAAGTAACAGGGGTTACATCAAGGAATGCGACCCATGAAACATAATCCCAGATTTCACGCGAAGATTATCGACGATGACCATCAGAGGGTGGACCAAAATGGAAGCTGTGTAACGAGGAAGCTCGGCCAGAAGGGTGACGCGACGGCCAGTTACAATTTTTCATCCATAATTAACTGTCACCATCGACCGGTCAAATAATCAAAGTGGAAACAGAAATCCGTCACGTGTTATGCAATGGTTAAAATACGTAACACGGAATTTTAAGTGTTATATAACAAAATATCATTCATTTCATTTTATCTCTTTGTTTATTAACTCTGAGATCCTTCTTTAAGCTCCAATAGGATACTCTTCATCATTTATTATTTCTTTTTTTAACGTTAAATTTTAAGGTAATTCGTTATAATTGAATTTCACACAAGTTTAAGTACAATTCTACGAGTCAAAAATGAAAAATTTCCCTTACCTTCTCCCTTTCTTTCTCTCTCTCTCTCTCTCTCTCTCTACCCACATTTCTAACACGAACGCTGTAACAGTAATAAATGCATCGTTTCGACGTCTGACGCATAACAACGAAGAAAACTCCCCCATTTCACGATTTTATTTCCCACCACCGTGAAAATCGTGTTCCACAGCGGCCGTATGAAAACGGTCCCCTATCAGAGGAGGCGGCTTTATCAGATAAAGTCGCGCTATCGGTCTTGGCAAATAAGGGAACGCTGACAGTTCGACGATGACACACAGTTGTTACGGAGGCGTACGTGCCGCGACGGCTATTTTTTTTCCTTGTTTTTCTTTTTTCCTTTTTTTACACTCCCTTCGCCCCGCGTATCCGTAATTTCAGTTTCACCCAACGCGGCTCGCAAGGACGAGAACAGCCAGCCGAGTGAGTAAATTCAGCACGATCGATTTTAAAGAACTCGTACGTGTGAGTAAATAAATCGTACGTGCAGGATGAATATGTGATTATATAGTGTGAATGGACAAGTGTCGCTTGTGTGTGGTTATATGTGTGACGAGGAATTGGTTAGGTGTTTAAGGGGTAGAAGAATTTTCTGAAAAGAATATTTTTGTAGAGTTGGTTATGGTAAAAATTTTAATATAGACAGAAAATGTAATCGAATAAATTGCATTAGAAATATGTTCCACAATAATTAAAAATATTTTGTGAAACGTTACATAAAGTTTTTGATAAAGCTTCACAAATGATATGAAAATAATAATTGATTATATTGATCGATTGATATATAGATTGTAAAAGTTAAATAAATTGATGTTTAAAGTGATAAATATCACATTATGAGATAATGAAAATATATGTTTAAAATGATAATAATAATATTTCATGGATTCAAATAATATTTGATACAACGTTTAAGTTATACAATTCTCTGAATTGTGATGAATAAGTAACGTGATGATGATGCTAGACATCCGCCTGATAATCAACCAACTGATTAAATATTATTCTTATCTGATAAGAGAACGATTATTTTTTCATCGTTCTTGACATAATAAATATCTAACATAAAAATATTTTAAAAATAGTTATGTCATATTTCTATTTAAAAAATAGAATTTTAATATATTGAATTTTATTTTAAGTTACTTCAAAAGTAGTACAGCAATGAAATAATTGATTACGTACAAATGAAATTACTTTTACTCAATTATATCTATTGCATTCTAATGATAAATTCAAGTATGATTGAAAAAGTAAAAGTCATTTACATTTTTCCTTCCATTACAACATCTAAATATGCTAAAGAAGAATACAACAATTAATTATCACAATAAAATTCAAAAGTATAGCCAAAAAAATATAACCAATGTACAATGATTATATTTCTTTTCTTAATTTGGAAGAAAATATTTTACAGAAAAATTAATCAATATCACAAACAGTTTTAAATAATGCTAAATATCACTTAAAAAGATTTTTACATAAAAAGATTATCTAATAGACATACACATATTTTCCATACCTGTCTCCTTTCTGCAAAGAAACCTCTATTCTATAATAATTTCCCATTTAAAAAATTCACTAATAAACGTTTCAAAAGGTATAAATACTCGGTTTGATTACCTTTTCTAGGTCATGGATAGCCTATATCCAAATCTATGCGAGAGATTCAAAAGCGAGGGTTTGTGCCCTATTTGCCTGATGGAAATGGAGCTAGCACCCAGATACACATGCGCCAACCAGCACACTATTTGTTATCGTTGCAAACCTTATTACTACAACTGTCCCACGTGTCACTCGCCATTAAACATAGAAATGCCACCTGCAAACACTTTCTCTTCCTCTCTCCCGCTGCCTACTCACTTCCTGCCCCATCCACTTCCAAGGAACGATTTTCAAGAACACGAAAAAAACTGGTTCTCCCCTTCTCCGCCTGAAGACCAAGAATTAAAACCGTGTATGTACACCCATCTGGGATGCTGGGTTAAAGTGCCAATATATTTGGTAGATCTGCACGAATCTCGGTAAAGAAATTTTAAAATTTGTGATAATCGTGTGATAATTTGTGAAATGTGTATGGTAAAGAGAAAGGGAGACAAAACACTGATATATATATCGATTAAAATTTATTTTTTGCAAAATAAATAATAATAATCGTTTGTATAAAAAGAAGAAGAAAAAATTTGCAAATCATTACTCTATAAAAGATTAACATATCAATCGATAAATTAAATTGTAATGTTATCTCTTGTCTCGATATACATTTAAATTGCAAAATTTGAACGATCACATGAAGATAAAGAAAATAAATTACGCACAAAACATTCAATTTCTTTTCCAATTTATTTTAACAATTAAAAATATTTCTGACCATTGTTCGAACATTTAAAAACATTTTCAAATTAAAATCTCCTTAAATATAATAAATTATTTTTACTATAATAAATAAAGAATATCCGATAAAAATATATATTATTCACATTCATTTTTTTAAAAATTTCAGGTGTCAATTCCGGCCTCACTTAGAAGAGGAATACCTTCCCACGGACATGGCCCACACCCAAGACGATTTGGTCGATTGCATTTATCGAGACAAGGGTTGTAAAGTGAGAACCCCAGGTTGGAGGGTTATGATCCACGCGCAACACTGCAACTACAAGGATAGCCTGGACGAGATCACCGACGCCCTCGAACAAACCGCGATTTTGTGCGAATACGAAGAGGATCCCAAAGAATTGGTCGAATGCAGGTACAGAAAATACGGTTGCATGGTGAACATGCGTAGAAGGCGGAAACCTGTGCACGAGGCGAAATGCAACTACCGGAAATACCACACGGAGAGCGATGACTCCTCGTCTGAGGGCGAGTACGATCCTGACGAACAGGTTTCGTGCAAGTGGGCCGAATATGGTTGCAGGGTGAGGCCGAGGCACAGCCGTTTGGAGACGCACGAACAAAAATGCAATTACAGAATGGAGGAGTGCGCTTACAAGGATAACGGGTGTATCGCCACTTTTCAACCGTCTAGAAGATACGCCCACGAGAGAAATTGCGAATTCGCTTGTTAAATTTTCTAATGGGATTCGAGAGGAAGATGTAAGAATAAGGTTTTTAAAAAGCTATTAAAAGTATCGATAGAAAAATAAAAAGAATTATATGTGTATATGATGTGATTGAAGAAAATGGTATCTTGGGTTTGTAATTTTTTAAAGAAATTTCGTGCGAAATAAAACGGAATGAAAAAAGATGAGGAATGGCATTAAAAAAAGTAGAATATAAAATATATATGCTCTCAAATATTTAATCATATTATAGGTATTCAGGAAAAAATATATATTCATAAATGTAGATCTTATGTATTCCTTTCTTATGATTCCTATAAATTTTTTATTGTGCTTATATACTTTGATTGTTAATATTATCTTATTTTTATGATTAATAATGTTGAAATTTACGTACTTATTACATTTTGAACGAGTTTGCTTTTTAATTAATCGCGAAACAAAAATTAAACCGATAAGATATCGCTTTGCATATTATACATACTCTTTTAATGATTAAAGTTTTGTTTCAGCCGTGCATTTCGTAATAAATAATGAAGTGTTCTTAATCTTTCCACTGAATCACGAGAAGACGTACAAGCATACATGCTAACGTCGTTGGTTAGTAACTTCCAAGTATCGATTCTAACCATATATTGTTCCAGAAGACAGTTCAAGCACATTGAATACCTCGCTATTAATTACGTTACCATCAATTAAGTTAGCTTAGAGAAAGAGAGTTCAATTCACGTGAATATAATTTAAATACTAAAGCAGAGAGGATTCAAATATCGAAGATGTATTAAAAGTTTAAAATAATAACATACAAAATTTCTTTAATCTCAAAGAACTTTAAATTACATTAAAATTTGTTTACAGAAATTTTACAAAACGAAAGCAATACCAACCACAAAGATTGACATCAAAATAATCTATTCGTATCAATTGAACAAACCTATCACCTCAATTTGTAATATAATACTTGCTCTAAAAGAAAGAATCACAAGATTGCATTATAAGAAAAAATTTAATTTCCATTTCCTTAATTATGCTCGTGGGAAATTTGATTTTCCATAAACATCCATTTTATTAATAACTTGATACTGCAATTTAAAAGGTATAAATGAAAAATTTTTATCTCTCCATTATTCATTTTCCATTCTATTTCATTCATCCTCTTTCTCTGTCACTGTCTCTCCCCTGTATCACGGATACGATAATGAAACTTACACAGCTATTCGAGGGATGATCGAGGGCACGATCGCCCAGAACGAGGGAATGATGGGCATGGCTGGGACATCGAACACCTGGAAGCTAATGGTGTGCAGCCTCCCATCGTGTTGTTTCGTAGTGCAACGCAGACACGAGCGTTTATAGGGACCATTTATAAGGGCACTGAAAAACCTTGGGAGGAGAATTGTCTTGAACGTGGTTACAGCACATCGTGTCGCTGAGAAATATATTCTGGAAGAGTGTTAAGATAATAAATTGCGTTGCACGCGTTTATATCCATCGTTTTGCCGTATAAGTTAACAGATTGGTCACAATAAGGCGTGCCAGAAACGAAAGAAAATTGGAATTCTTATTTTTCAAATAAGAATTTCTTCTTCTTTTCTTTTTTTTTTTTTTCTTTTACGATGACAATGAAAGAAGAATCGTCGAAGATGAGATGTATATTCAGGTTTGTTTTTCTTACGCTAGATTGTTTGGAGAATTAATTGATGTTTCTTGGAATAGCTTGTTTGAAGTGAAGAAAGTAATACAAAGATAATGGATTATCTTTGTATTGATAAAACAAAGGTTACAATAATGTCTTTATTATCGATAAATACTTGTTTACTTACTTCTTGCTGATTAATTATTTCCATATTTTATAATAAATAAATAATTGAACCAAAATATTCAATTTTTTGTGCTTTTGGAATATATATTATTTTTGTAATAAATTTATTTTTTAGATAGAGACTGCGTCGATATAATTGAGATGTATTATAATTTTTCTTATTTTTTATCAAATTAATATTCAATTCTTAACGTGTTATACAAGAATTATAAAAAAAAATAACCATTTATAAAAAAAAATTACAAATTCCTCATGAATATTATAATTTCATAAACAGAAAAATATAATTTAATACATTTTCCTCCTTCCCTCTCATAAGAAGAAACTAGGTGTACCATTTGCATCTACTTACGTAAACTATTCTAATGTGAAGAAGTAAGCGAATTCTGGTGGAAGAGATTCGAGGACTGGCTGCATGAAAATCTGAAAAGAATCCTCAGATACGAATATACAGCTTTCTGGATACTATATAAATATCGAACGGGCAGGAAAAAGGTAAATTCTTGTCCGTTCACAGTTCACAGAACCCGTCATCATCCCGGCCAGAACTTTAACGATCGAGGCTGACCCGAGCGATGGACAAAAGGGAATAGAGGCTGTTTTACATAGTAAAGACCAAGGAAGACTGCCATCGCCGCGACCCAACCGGATTCTTAAAGAGGATATTCACTTCTAAAGTGAGGAGGAGGTTATTTCGTGAAATGCGGACAAGATGTTCCAGTTTCTCGCATTATTTTCCTTATCCTTCCTTCGAAACTTTTAAATTATTATAATCGAAATTGATCGAACTTATTTCGATACATTTATAATTGAACAAGAAATATCTAAATTTCGTTGATTTAAATATTATTATTGTAAATAGAATTTTTTCTTAAATTGCTCAATAATGAAATATTGCAAATTGCAAAAATTAAAAGTAATTATTTTTTTCAGTGGTTCCAAAAAAAGAAAATTAATGGAAAAAACAAAAAAGTTTTCCAAAATCGAGTTTCAATAAAAAAAAGAAAAGAGACCAATAATTTTCTGTTAATTTCTATTTTAAGGATATCATATTAAAAATCACTGCGTATCACCTGTGAAACACGCCGTGATTCTTCTCATCAATATTGAAATTTATAACGACTTTATTGAAAGCATGAATACATCAAAGTTGATGAAAGGCAAAGGAAATCAGTAACCGTATTCAAGAGTTTGGAACGAAGAAGGTGGATGTAAGCTGTAGCATGGCCTTAGCAGAATGGCGAAGGGGTAACGAAGGGGAGTAAATTGCACCCCTGGGGAACAGATCTGACGAGTGGCACGAAGGGCCACGATAAGCCAGAAGTCAACCGATTTTAATTAAGACACAGGTGTGTTTTGATTATGGTTAGATTCATTTCCAAAGAAATTAGAATGGAACGTTGAAAAGTGTTTGTTATAAAAAAAAATATATATGATATAATCCCTACAATTATTATTGATATTTTGTTTTCTTAATATCTTCCATTGAAAAGTCTTGAAATACTTAAAAAACTTTTATTCTTTAGTGTAAAGTTATTAATATAATATATAATATAATAACATTTCTATACAAAAATCTTTAACTTTCTCCAATTTTGAGTTTCAGACAAAGGAATTCTTTCATAGTGAAACATAATAGAAAGACAAATAACACAAAATGTATTAAAAACGAACTCTTATAAATATTACATATAAATAAAATTCGACGTCTAACGTGGAAGGAATATGTTTTCCTTGAAAATGCTAACGATTTCTGCTCTAAAGCGAATTTAATGGAGAACAGGGACTTCTCACCGGAAATCCAGACACAATATCTCAACCGAAATGTGGACTGGCGCCTGACCCAAGAATCACCTTAATGCATGTATTCATACCGTAAGCTTCCACTCCAAATCAGAAGGGTAGGTGGAATAGGTGTTATGGGGATTTTGACACGGATGGAACCCTTCTTGACAAAGCGACTCCCCGGATATCTTACAGTTATTTCCTTTAAATACTGTCCAAACAGTCAAATCCTTGCTGCAAAAACACGATATCCCCGTTTTCAATCTTTATGAAAATCGTATCAACAGATTCTTTATCGATATTGACGTTTTACCAGATCAATGTAAGTCAGAAATATTATGTAGTACAGTGTTTATAAACTCATAAAACTACGTATTATACAAAAATTTACAGAATGAATATGATAGTAACAAAGTATACATCATGATATTTAAAGAATAAGATAAATTTATGATGTATTTCTTTAATTGTATTCATAAAAACTTTATCAATATAAATATCAGCAATCTACTTATTGCAATTTAATTTTTTAAACGATATTTGATATTAGATTATGAATAAATATTTTCTAATACATTAGAAAAGAAAAATCAAATTTACAATTAATCTATTATATTTGGAATATGAAATTAATATGATTGAATGGAATTTAATATAAACTGTAGCCATAGAAGAAGAATTAAATTATATTTAGATAAATTCACAATATTTTGTAAAAAAAGAAGTCAAGAATATAATTTTAAAACAAAAGAGAGAAAAATCAAAGAAAAAAATAATTTTGATAACGTTAAAAAGAATTCCTTTTCCCTTTTAATTTACCTTATGAATTTAGAATTGAGTCTCTAAGGCTTATTTATGATCCAACATAATATTAATTAAAATATATCCAATTACCCAACATATTTCACTTTCCCTTCCCACCAATCATTCCAAATGGTCCCAGATAAACGCGATCTAAACCCAGTTAAGAATCTGAATTTACGATATTCACCAACTAATTTCTGTCTCTACATCGAGACATTCAGGTATTGTGTGCCCTCGTGTAGCACAATTGATATTAATAACCACTTGATTCTCGCGTGAATTATCTGCCTGTTGCGTAATACCATTCGACCATAATATATCTGAATCCTCCTCCATGATTCCGTTGCCGATATTATCGTTATCTATGTCTCTATGACCAGTCGTTGATCAAGAAAAGTCCATCATCATGGATATCTATAGGGTGTCTCAAGAATTCGATGCAAAATTTCAAGAGAAAATAATAAATTCTCGTCGAAAGCACAAAAATTTGTTATCATTATTATTAATATATTTAGAATTCTTTTCAAGTCTTAATAAACATTTAAAATATTTTATGTTCTTTGCAAGAATTTTTGATATGTTCATTTATATTGTGATCATCTTTTTATATATATTTATTTTGA